GCTCCTGGGAAAGGAGTCGTGCAATTTTGAAGTTTTGGATGAGAGGGCAGGAGCATGCCTTCAAGCACTACCAAGCTATTTAAAAGCATCAGGAAAGCAACCACAGAGGAAGTAGAAGTGGGTGGTAGACTCCTTTCAGGTTGAGAGACTGCCTCCCAACCACATCTCTGCACACCAGGGTAGAGCCCTAAACCACAGGCCATTGTCTGTCCTAAGACTATTCCTGCAGAAGTTATGAAATGGAAAAATATTTACTGGATGAAAGAATGGAACACCTATAGAAACCAGATTTCCCTCATCTGAATGCCTTAATCACAGTGCAGGAGTTTAGGCCTCTGGCCTAATTACTGTTTTTTTTTTTCCCCCAAAGGTTGCAGGTGAAATAAAGGACAGCTTACGACACTCTGCTTGTTTCAGTCTCTTGGGAAGAGGGTGATGTGAACTCAAGGTACTTAGAGCTCAAAAGGACAAAGAATAAAGTGTCACACTTAATGAACGTGGGATGCAACTAATGCACCATAAAACATGAAGAGAAGAGAGACTAACATAATTGCAAATGCTTTTACTCAAGTTTGAGTAAATAGTTTACACTTATTTCTTAGCAAAACAAGATATTTTAATCCTGAGGGAACATTCCCATCTCTGGATGCCAAAGGCAATGAAGTAGGAGAGAGATTCCACTCTCCAGAACAGTCTTAGTGATTAACAGCTATGGGTGGATGCAGAACAGAAGCCCTGTGCATCTCATTTTCTTCACAGTAAAAAATGTAGAAAAGTGTGCTTTCAGACATGGGTTTTAGGACCATCAACCTCAGCTTTAAGCCATCTAGTTGTAAAATAGGCCACTCAAATAATTTATGAACTCAGGCAGTAATATACAGCAGAGAGAATTCCCCCCCACACCAAATCCCATAAATTATATATAAGAAAGCTTCTAACAACTATTTAAACTTTAAGTTAAACCTGTGTGCATCAGAGAGATACAGGAGAGTACAGAATGACTTTTATCTAAAATGTCAGTTTAAGTCTACACATTCCCTTAAAAACACCAAACCACCTCCACAGTGTTTTTATATTGCACAAACTTGCACTCTGTCATCTCGAGCTCATCACACACAAACGGAATCAAACTCAAGATTTCAGTATGCTCCGTGCCATATTCTAGACACGACAGCTCCCATGCTGAATGGATGCTATGGATGCTCTTCACCAGGCCTGAGGAACACAGGTTCACAAATCACATTTATTAACCCAAGACTCGAACCAAACCAGACTAGCACTTTTGATAGGCACACTTAACAACACAAGCTGCATTGCCACTGGAACCTGCAAAATTAACGTTTCACACATTATAAACATCGCAAGTTCCTTACAAAGATTTACTCAAAGGTAGGACTAGGACTTATGCATTAGCTCCACCTTTGCCACTGCTGGTCATCCAAACCATGTTGTTAAAATCTGTCAACCCATCCAAGATGAAAAGCACTACCAAAGTACTGTCATGGACAGAAGAAAAAAAAATGGTAAAAATGCACAAAGAAGTCCCTCAGAGAACTGATTTTCTGGTCTATTGACAAGTCCATAAATTAGACAAGAGTATTTGAGTTGTTATCATGCCAAAGTAACCATTCCTGAGTTAAGGTAAGGCTGAGTGATATTTAACTAAATCTCATGGTTGCTATCCTCCTGTTGGCATAATTTCTAAACATTTTAAACCCACAATACTAAATAAAAATCTTTCAAGCACTTGCATGTCAGTGCTGCACTGAGTCACACCAGTCCTGAAAGGTTCTTGTCCTATATATATTACTGTTATTTTTTTCTGTAGGATCAACTACTGCTACCTGTTAAATCAAGAACTTATATTGAGCAGTATGTAAAGATAGAAAACAAGACACGTTTTTAATTTTAACTGGAATCAGGAATTGGAATTTTGGCTAAGTAGAGGAATGGTAAATTCCTGGTACTTCATAATAATTAGGACCTGTACAGATGAAATTCAGATTGCTCTCATCATCATTCACATGAGTGCAGAGCAGTTTCTATTACAATTTTAATTTAAACAACAAAATTCAAATTTATGACTACATTTTTTGCAGCTCTCAAACTGCCCCATATATTAAATATTTTAATTCATGCCTCTCAAACTGTTTTCTCTGATTTAGTGTTACTGTTTTGCATTCCTAGATAACATGAGTAGAAAGCACTGCTAAAAGAATGATTGATAATATTGAAATGGATCCAAGTACATACTGAATTCAGTACCGAGGAAACACTAAGACGTTTGGCTGCTTCAAATTAGCATACATTGTTAGCATCCATACACCCCTATCTACTGACTTTATAGTCCCAACAAAATACCCTGTTTGTCTCCAGGATTTTTAACAGGAGACCTAATGATGTCTGCATCATATACAGGGTTTGGATATAAAATAGCATTTTTCTGGTTTGTTTAAAATGAGAACTGAATTATTAAGTTCACGTGCTACTGATGCAATATACATCTAGTGCTCAAGAATGCGAGTAATTCCACAAAAATATTTTACAGTTTCTCCAAAAACTAATTAGAATGGCATTTGGAAGTAGATAAAAATATGATAAAGAGATCTGACTTACAGTATCTCTACATCTAAAAAATATTATTTATATCAAGTACAGGAATTGTTATTCATCTAAATAACATGTAGCATTTAAGCTCATTTTGTGTATCACAAAATGTGAAAATCTGCAACATACTGCACATGCAAATCCTCAATGCCTTTGTAAGGCTGCTATACTGCTGAGGACAAGATATTTCAGCCTGACAAAACAGCATCAAAAATGATGTCATGAGGACAAGCTAAGCACACTAACAATTAATTATCTTCACAGCACTGTAAAATTCACTAATAGACTTACTGTCATGGCAAAATGACATCTGACAACAGTAATTATGCAATAGTATCCAAGATGATCACTATTTTTCCTTTCTGACTTAATCAAGGGAGGTTTATTCTAATTACTGGCATACACTGTCTTTTCAATCACTTGTTTTTGTTTATTTTCAGTTTTTAATAAAGAGCAGAAGTTCTTAAGGGAAGAAACAAAGCATCACTGCAAAAGCAGCACAGGAGGGTACTGAAGAAGTACAGAGCAGAATACAGTAAATATTGCACAGCCTTTGAGAAACCACGTAAGCAACTCAGAAAGCCTTGCTTATACTTGCCATAGTTTACATCAAGTGAAACTTAAAAGACCAGCAGTTAAACTATACTACAGCAGTTTAAGCTGGAGAATAAAATTATCTTGTTTGCTACTCCATGCTCTTTATAAAATTAAGCCAAACCTTTCATGATGTTCCCATAATTTGTAATTTAGTTTCATTAAAACATTTTTTTTTAAGTCTACCATAGGAAACAGTAGGACTTTATCATTAGTTTTTAATTTGGGCCTGGTGAGATGGGGGATTTGGGGTATTACCGAAGTGTAGAAAAGAGATTTAAATGCAAGAAATTACAAGGTTTATTTTTAAAATTACTTTTAAAAAGTACATTGCTGATGTAACAGTCTTCCTTGCATGTTATAGAAATATGAAAGTTACCATAATAGAGAAAAAGGAAGTATCAGCTCAGTTCTTCCCTGTGTAATAGGAGTTGGGATATTTTTGAAGAGCTGTGCTGAGCATGTGAAAATCTTTGCCCACAAGGCAACCTCATGTCACGACAGCATTTCATTCCAAATCTCTCTCCTAAGAGTTCACTGCTAAAGTAATTTTAATTTTTTTTTATGGCCTTGCAGATGGTCAAAACAGAAGAAGCAAAGCAAAGATATCTCTGTCCCCCTTAATCTACCCTTTCTCCAAACCCATATAAACTGACTTTAGAACTGGCAACAAAAACAGAGTGTAAAGATGGTCTGTATGGCAATTAGAGACCAGGAATGGGCTGGAAATCAACTCACATCACCACCCTCGGCAAGTTATTAGCAGCACCACTAAAAGCCTGTGCAGTTAAGAGCCTCACTGTGTTGGCAGTGAATTATGGAGCATTCGATTTTACACAGTAGCACAATGTATTACTGAGACCGTAGCAAAACAAACCCCAGATAAGGAAAACGAAACGGTCCTGGAATCAAATGAGGAGAAATATAATAATAGGAATGATACACGCGTGCTATCTGTTTGCTGTTAACACCTCCCAACATGGACAGCGATTTAAACGAGATGAATGCAGCGTTACAGAGCCTGTCTTTCATCTCCTGTCTAGGCACATCCCTCTGGAAACACCACGCTTATGGCACCCTGCATCCAGCAATCACTAGCAGCTGCAATAGAAACTTTTCGGAATAATCAAAGTTTGAAGCTTCATCTCCCTTTACCCCCCACACCGCACTCAGCCCGGCCAGGCACAGCGACTCGCTGTCTGACCGACAGCCCGGGCCAGCGCGGAGCTCCGCCGGCTCCCGGGCCCTGCCGCGGGCACAGCCGGCTCCGCGCCGGCGCTGCGCGTCCCTGCGGCCGCAGCGGCTCCGGTACCCCCGCCCGGCAGCGAAAACCGGGAGACTTCCACCCGGGAGAGCCCAGTGGCCGGGGAAGCATCTCCCGGGCTCGGCGAGGCCAATCGGGAACCTCCGCTCGGGCTCGCAGCGCACCCGATGCCTCCCCAAGCGGGGCTGGGGGCGAAGCCAGCCGCCGGCGCTCACCGCCCCGGGGCCGCTGGCAGCGCTCCGGGGCCGCCGCTTCCCAGGCAACAGTTGGCCGTGTCCCTCCGGGTCCGCCCCGCCGCTGCCCGCAGCCCCCGCGGGGCGAGGGGCAGGGGCACCGCGAGGGCGCCTCGGGGCCGGGGAGCGGGCACAAAGGCGGCTGCGGAGGCTCAGAGGGCGAGGGGAGCGGGGAGGCTCCGGGGCTGCAGCCACCGTCCCCGCCCCGCCGCGATGCGGGGGCGCTGAGTGAAGGAGCAGCAGAGGCGGCTCAGCGCCCACCCCGCGCTTCCCCGGGCCCCGCCGTGCCTCCCCGCTCTTACCTGGGCCGCCCGTCGCCGCTGGCCGCCGCAGGTACCTTCGTCCATCCCCCGCCGCTGCCTCCGAATCAGCCGCCGGCGCTGCGGCGCGGCCCAGCCCGCCCGGCCCAGCGCGACGCTGGCAGAGCCGCCCCGCCCCGCCCCGCGGTGGCTGCGTGCGGCTCCCGCCGGCGGCCGCCCCGGGCGCGGCTCCCCGGACCCGCCTCCCGCCGCCGCGGGGCGAGGCGCCCTCCGATGGGGATGGATGGGGATAGGGGTAGGGACAGGGATGGATGGGGATAGGGATAGGGATAGGGACAGGGATGGGTCTGCCGCCCCGTGCAGATCGTACGCGGGGACCCCCTGGCTCCCCAGCGGACAGGCCGGGGCGCTGGGCTGCCCGCTAGCGGAATCGGGGCAGGGGTGCGTGTGACTGTCACCCGCGCTGCGCCCCGCCCGGGGACATCGGCGCTGACCCAAACACCCCCCGTTTCGCAGGGATCCCATCCCCCTCTCTCCGGTGGCCTCCGTTGTGGGAGGGGGGAAAGTGGTAAAGGACAGTGTCTGTGTGACTCTGTGACTCTCAACCCTGGAGTTCGGAACTTCACATACATTTTTTGTGTTCCTGGCTTTGTAGAAGGCAGCGCTTCCTCAAGACGTCAAAACCAGATCTGAGCCCATTCACAGCTCATGAAAATACTTTGTACTTCCTCTTGCTGTGCTGAGGGTTAAATGAGGTTAAAGTCGCCAGAATGGGTGCGCAGCACTTAGTTTCCCCCTTCCCCAAAAGCCAGTCTGGGCGTCATTTAGAGCGAGAAAGCAAGAAAAGAAAAACAAAAGTGACAATATTAGAAGTACAGTACAGAAATACCTGCTCAATTGTTCAAAGGGCTTTGCTTGCTGAGCTCTTTAAATGTGAGAAGCTGTGATGCTGACCTCAAAGCCATCACAGCTCTGTGCCACTGAACCTGAGAGTTCACAGCTGCTTTCTGCCCCGGGCAAATGTGCTGAGGAGAGCTGTGTGCTCAGAGAGGTGTGATTCTCATGAATAAGGCAAGTTTTGGAGCCTGCTCGAAGTTGGGTGGTTTGGTAGAGCTGTGAAAATGTAGGGCCTGCTGCTGCCTTGACACTCTGGCCTGTCACTCCCTCTGAGCAAGCACTCCAGAGCAGCATCACTTTTATGATTTAACTTCTTCCCTTTACCCAGGCTTGATCCAGATGTCCTTGAATTGTTCTTTTTTTAGTCTGAAAATTACAAATTGTCTAGTTAGAAAATAATTCAAGTGACATACTTAGTCTATTAAAAGGCTGTGTCTCTGTTGCTGTAGCACATTTAGTATAGCTACCCTTACAGCACCCAGCTTAGTAGAACACTGAGCTGCTGGCTTGCATTTTTTACCCACAAGTCTCAAAGTACCTTTTAAAAGAAGTAAATAGCATTGCTCCACTTTCAAGTGGGAAGAACAGTCACATGGAAAACTTGAACCAGGAGAAAGAACTGAACCTCAGATTCCCAGCTTGCAACGTAATGTCCCCTTTTAATTATTTTTCTGGGGCATGCATTCTGACTGCTTTATAATGGTTGTGTTTTGAACTGGATGCTTTTACAAAAGAAGACACAGCTGCCACCCATCTTTTGGAAATATCCTGACTCTATGACTGCATGCTATCTATGTATGTTCTCAAGTTGTCTGCACTGAATACATCAAGGACTTAGCCAGAAGAATACTTTTATTCTGCATACTGGTAATATTTAGGAGTTAGAAAAATCCAACTTTTAAATCCTGCCAAAATAAAGGGACTGCTAGATATTGATGAATAAACTGTAGACCATCTACATGTTCACATGCTGCCATCACATACTACTATAAGACTAAAGTTGATCAGCCTGTAGGGAAAATGGCAGGTGAGTGATAGATTTCAGATTCTCAGCTTTGGACAATGACATTAGAGACCAGGAAACAACTATTTAACTGCATACTGGCATAGTAGCCAAGCCACAACTGTCTTTGTGAAACTGTTATCTTAGTGTTTGTGTGAGAAAAGTTCAGTTTGCAGCACACTGGCTGGGATCAGATTCCTCAGTAAAGTAATTTCTTATCCCTTAGACTCTGTGAGTTATCTAACATATCACCCAGGTTTTCTTTGAAAATATTCAGGATACCCATGATTTTCTGTCTTATCTCTACCAGCCCCGTCCCAATACCTCAAGAACCGTAAATGTTCTCAGGTGAAAGGATGTGCTTGCATTTACACTGCCGAATTGTGCCTCTAAATTTGGGTATACAGACACCTCTATTTCTTAGACATTATTTAGGTGTCTAATTTCCCATTACAGGCAGTACTAAAGTCCAGGTCTAGTGCTTTCCTGAAGTAGTTTCACACATCACAAGAAGCAGGCAGGCTTCTAAAATCAGTTCTCTGGTGAGCAATGCAATGGGCCAGCCAGTAATAGTCTGGTTATTACAGCTTAAAGCTACCCCAGTCCTGATCCAGGGGTGGGATAAGCACAAACATTCAGAGATTTTGAAGTTACCCTTGGGTATCTTGCCTTATTTTCTACTTGTCTTCCAGAAGACCTGTAGGTCCTGTGATGTGTAGATGTAAGTCAGAATGCTCATTGCTACTTAAGTGAATCTGTCATCTCTGCAGTGGAAATTTAAGTCACTTAGCTAAAGACACCTGCTGACAGACATCCAAAATGTAGAAGTCTGAATCTCACACTGAATCCCATCCAAATCGATTTGCAGTCTGATATTGGAGGTGATTTTAACACATTTTATTTCACAGTTATGACAATGTATACACAACCATGGCTCAGCTGGGACATAGGAGCATAGCAGCAATCTCTGGATTGTTTTAGGTGACGGCCTTATCTGCTGAAATTTAAATGGTGGAATAGATTATTTTTTAAAAAAAGAATGATTCATAAAAGTCATCTGCAATACTGGTAAATACTTGTATTTTTATCTACCTGGAACAATATTGTTGAGGCTTGTGTAGAGTATGGTGCCTTGCAAGTCCTGAAATTCATTGCTTTATGCAGAATTGCATTCAAAATCATCTGGATGCAACCAGCAGTCACCAAACATATGGGCACATGAGTTTTCAGCTTTTGATGTTTAACTTGCTAAGTAGAACTAATGTATTTATCTAGCACTTTTCTCCAGTATTACATGTGGGAGTTTATTTGTAGAATAAAGGGAAATCTTCCTTAATGCTCATTTTAGCTCTGTGCAGTCTGAAAGGAAACAGGTTATTACAAAGAGCATTTTGAGGAAAAGAAAGGTTTAGAGCTCTGTTCAGAAATCACCAAATTCAAAGGAGAGGGTCTTTAATTTCAGTGCCCGTTCCATCAGCCCCTTAATCATTTCCTCAGTCTGGAAGCCCTTTGTTTTTGTGGTTAACACAGAAAAAAAAGGATAATTATATATTCTATGAAGTAAATTATATGAATATTCAGTATGGTCCTGTCATCACTTGTATAATTCACAGTACCACTGATATTGTTTGCAATGGCAACTTGTGAAGAGGAACCTCAGAGCTATTTTATAACTTAGGGACATAATCTTCTTTTTCAGTTATGTGACTGAAAACTAGGAGCGAAGCCAGTAGCTTCCAAGGCACAACAAATCAAAAAGAGAGGAGAGGAGAGGAGAGGAGAGGAGAGGAGAGGAGAGGAGAGGAGAGGAGAGGAGAGGAGAGGAGAGGAGAGGAGAGGAGAGGAGAGGAGAGGAGAGGAGAGGAGAGGAGAGGAGAGGAGAGGAGAGGAGAGGAGAGGAGAGGAGAGGAGAGGAGAGGAGAGGAGAGGAGAGGAGAGGAGAGGAGAGGAGAGGAGAGGAGAGGAGAGGAGAGGAGAGGAGAGGAGAGGAGAGGAGAGGAGAGGAGAGGAGAGGAGAGGAGAGGAGAGGAGAGGAGAGGAGAGGAGAGGAGAGGAGAGGAGAGGAGAGGAGAGGAGAGGAGAGGAGTTAATCTATAATTTTACAACTCCGAATTGTGTCTGAAATTGTTTCCTATGAAAGAACAGTGCTGCTGTGGCATTGTCAGTATTTTTCTCTCCTATCAAAGAACCAACCATTAGTAAGAGGATAAACTTCCTTATCTCAATTGTGTCAGGTATCTTCAGCATGAAGAAGATTTTTCCTTCAGAACACACTGAGCCTCGATTGTAATAACCCCCAGTTTCTCTCTTGTATCCACTGGCACATGACATTGGCAGGGGCATGGACAGCCACCCCTTTGCTGACAAGGGACCAGCCATGGCAGGTTAGACCACGAACCATGGCGTAGCCATGGCAGCTACACCACTCATCAAAAAACACTGGAGTCTCACCTGAATACAGCTGGAAGGCTGATCCCTGTTTATCTACCTATTTGGAAGTCAATATATAGGATACATAATCCCCTTTTAAAGACATGTATACAACTTGAATGGCAAACAATAAAAATGTAATTATTTTATGCATTAAGTATCTTCATTAGGCATTCAATGCAAATTAAACAAATTTACTCCAAAAAGTGATATAGTTTAACTTCTGGTGCAGGCTTTAAAAAATATTGATATTCATGTGTATAGTTTAAAAAATTGAGATTTATAAAATATAATGCTTAAAACAGAAAGCAATTATATTTTTGTCATTTTTAGCTAGTCAGAATACTATACATTAAATAAGAATTTGTCAGTGTCATTGTATCAAAATGTAGTTAGATCCTAGGACTTTTTTTTTGGATATGGTTGTCAACTATAAATACTTTACCCACATATTATGCGTGGGCAAAGCATAATAATAATATTTCTATACAGTGATAGATGCTTGTTGTTAAGGCTGTAATATTGGAAATCATACAAACAATTAAAGAAACTTACTATTTAAATTCAAAAGTTTATAGAGAAGCAAGCATGGAATATTCACTTTGAATGCTGCTTCTACAGTAAAACCTCAGGGTATTTTAATATAATTACATTGTACAACCAGTAGTTCAGACTTGCTTGAAGTAAAATTCCTTTTGCCAAACAAATGTTGATAATTTCAATAGCTCACTGGATATGTAATATTTCATTTATCACTATTAATGTTAATAAGAAAATGTCTAAGTTCCAAACTACTC